AATAATAATAATAATAATAATAATAATAATAATAATAATAATAATAATAATAATAATAATAATAATAATAATAATAATAATAATAATAATAATAATAATAATAATAATAATAATAATAATAATAATAATAATAATAATAATAATAATAATAATAATAATAATAATAATAATAATAATAATAATAATAATAATAATAATAATAATAATAATAATAATAATAATAATAATAATAATAATAATAATAATAATAATAATAATAATAATAATAATAATAATAATAATAATAATAATAATAATAATAATAATAATAATAATAATAATAATAATAATAATAATAATAATAATAATAATAATAATAATAATAATAATAATAATAATAATAATAATAATAATAATAATAATAATAATAATAATAATAATAATAATAATAATAATAATAATAATAATAATAATAATAATAATAATAATAATAATAATAATAATAATAATAATAATAATAATAATAATAATAATAATAATAATAATAATAATAATAATAATAATAATAATAATAATAATAATAATAATAATAATAATAATAATAATAATAATAATAATAATAATAATAATAATAATAATAATAATAATAATAATAATAATAATAATAATAATAATAATAATAATAATAATAATAATAATAATAATAATAATAATAATAATAATAATAATAATAATAATAATAATAATAATAATAATAATAATAATAATAATAATAATAATAATAATAATAATAATAATAATAATAATAATAATAATAATAATAATAATAATAATAATAATAATAATAATAATAATAATAATAATAATAATAATAATAATAATAATAATAATAATAATAATAATAATAATAATAATAATAATAATAATAATAATAATAATAATCACCATATATGTCTTAACAATACCAGTAAAGTATAAAATCACACATGGCAACTGCATAGGATACATAGTTTACATATTTTCTAATTTTTTCATCATCCCCTACAATATGAATGGGTAAAATAATAGTAAGAAGCCATCCTTAACCTTCATTCTAACAAAAAAATGAGACATCCAATTGCCTAGGAGCATCATGAGTGGACTACCTGGCACCATGAGTGACTGGGACCTCAGTTATTCCTACCACAAGGGAGATGGCAACTTATTAGTACGTCATAGCTATGCATCATCCAGCATCTGCTCCCCCCATCAATTATTTAATTTACACATTAAAAATGGCAGATCCATCACAACCAAATTTGGATACTTGTGTATACTATTATTTCATTTTTGCTAAACATGATGGAAACACACAACAAGCACTGTCTGAAGTCTTCAAAAATTATATTAATTTTAATCTCCCTCTTTGTCTCTGTACACATCTCTGTCCATGTCTCTGCCACATTACTCCCCACTTCATTGTGTCTATCCAATGTCTCTGCCCACGTCTCAGGCCACTTTTCTTGCCTTGTCACTGGCCACATCACTTGCCACATAACTAGTTATGCCTCTGGCCACATTTCTGTCTACATCTTTGTCTGTATCACTGTCTACTTCTCTGTCTGCTTCTCTGTTTACTTCTTTGTGCTGTGTGGTGCAGCAGAAGAGATCTCATCTAGCAATCTTGCTGATCTGTATTCAAATCACATGCTGCTAGTGGATCATAACCTCAACCATACCATGCACACTGGGTAATTTGGAAGCAAAATAAAACAGACAGAATGTCACGCCAAAAATATCTATTGTAACAAATGGAATAAAACTAAATTATAATTATAATTACATTTGTCTACTTTTCTGCCTATCTCTCTGCCCATTTACATCTACAGCTAAGTGAACTTCAATGTCGATGCCTCTGTTTCGGTTTCTTGTCTCGTATTAACACATCTTTGAAGTTTGAGGAATAAAATTAATATTAAATCCCTGACAGGCCCTACATGTCTATCCAAAGTGAATAAAAGAATACAGAGTTCATGAAGACTGCTTCTAACACTGCTCCCTCATAACTGACAGAAACCTGAGTGGTAGCATGTGCTTTTATCTATCCAGGCTCCATTTCATCAGAACATATTATGAACAATGAATACTAACCACAAAGAGCACTGAGAAAATAGCAGGCCTCTACCCAGTTGCTATTTATGCAAGGAATAAGGACTGCTTATGATGTGTAATTTACATTAAATATCTTCAGTCAATGGTGATCACATCATAGTAACAATACTGGGTAGTTCTCATGGCTGAGAAGAGCAGAAAGTAAAAATTTAAAAATCTACACACACAATAGCTATATAACAACAATTTCATACATAATCAGACTTACAAGTGATATCCTATAACCCTACCTATAACCCTTCTAAATGCTATCCCCACACTCCATCTGTACCACTTAATTTCCTTCTTCCAAGACAAACCTCAAATAAACCAGTAAATATTACTAGAAAAAAATTAATATCCTAATATCTAACCCCATTCATGAGTCAGTACTAGACACAGCATCCAAAACGACCAACACCATTACTAGGAACTACTTTAATAACCAACTCTCAAAGTACTTGAAATAAATCAGATACACAGGAAAAACATATGTAACCTGGAAAGCAGTTGGCAGGGCCTCAATATCTTCAGTGTTCTGGCAAAGGCTACACAATCTACCATATACATTCTGACAAAATAGAGCTTAGACTGGTTCTTTATTCGACAATAAATCACCAGTGCACATCCACCAATAGTCCACACACCACACCTATACATCAGCCATTTGTACTCAAGCATTCAGCTCTCTTTTAACCCACTGGTGATGGATATCCGTCTGCTGAATCAAACCACATATCAGGTATCACACATGGTCAGCCACTCAAATGAAAAATCCTTAGATTGAAGAGCACAGCACACATTGACCTCATTGTGCGTGCATTTGGCTGCAGCATAAAACATTTTCCAACATTAGATACAAAAAACTAGCCTTTAGCCCATTATCTGAAAGGCTTCAGCTTATGAACTGCCAAACAAGTGAACATATCTTTATGGTTCACAACTTGGAGCTGGCCAACTGCACATGCTGCATATCCTTGCCAATTAGCATTTGGTCTCATTATGGCAAGATTAGATGCCAATAGTCAATAAAGGGTTAAAAGCAAAAACACTTTACAGCCCTAGCAATCTACATGAAAGTAAGGACCAATCCAAGAACCATCTTGCCAGTTTATATGAAGTGGAGGTTTGTAATTCAATGATAATTGCCAGGGCAGTCTAGAAGCTTTATCCTGCTAGCATATAAGGCACTTAGTGCTGCGTAGGTCTTTGCTGGGGTACTGACAGGCATGTTGGTTAAAGTTATTGTTCAAGATAATGCAGTTTCAATTATCACTGCTATCATCAATACGGATTCCTTCACCAGATTAAAGCTGTCTTTACTGTATATACTGATTGTATCAGAATTGTCATATTTTCCATACACTTTTCTCACTGATTCTTTTGTGGTTTCATTCTTATTAGCTGCTGTTTTATATTTGTATTTAAGTTTTTGTAAATATTCAATTACTACCATCTGCCTTGTCATATTATTTTTACATGTGTTTTGTATTTATGTTTTGGTAAATATCTAATTACTACCATCTACTTTATTTTGCTGCTTTTTTAGTCTATTTTTTTAAACATCTATAATTTTAACCTAGTTTATACTATAATTTTAAATGTTTAAACTTAAACCTGTGATCTGCAGTGGGCACAACAAGATAGCATTCATTAAAGTGCCTGGTCAATATAATATAACATTGCAAAAAAAAATTGTACAATTATCAGACCAACTAACTTGTTCAGCTTCAGTACCAATAACCATCCACTGCACAGCATCAATTCAAAATTCCCTAGAATCTGCAGTGCACAAATTAATCAGTGTTAATCTGATAAACTGGACCCTTACCGAATGGGCTGCACATCATTACCAGAGATTCATTAGTGATGACAATGTAGTGTAATTAGTTTCATCAATGGTCTCTCGTTTTCATATTAATTTCACTGAACATCCCAAGAAAAGACCCTTTAAAGGCCTTCAAATTCAGCACATATAGAGATCTAAGCCTTGGCCCTCCTTCCTCTTAGCCACCGGGCTACATATGCTTCCAAGTGCTGAAAAAGCTGGGGGGGTTCGGGGACAGTACTCGCCGCGTCTTTCCAAGTGCCCTTAATGTGTTCTCTCTGTCCTCTTTCTTCCATTCGCTCGCCAAATGACAAATGGGCTTAGATTTGGGGCTCTTGCAACAACTGAACGAATTAAAGGTCCATCTTCAACAATCAACAATCTCCGCCTACATTCCACGTTTAGCTGTTTTCGCGCGAATTTCCCCCTTGTTCATTCTCCTTTTTCCGTCTACCGAACCAGGAGACATTAGTAATTGACATACCTGCTGCTGGTAAAGGTTTTCTCTCTCTACACTCCGCATTTTGGTCGAAATTAAAACTACAGCGAAAAAGCAAACTAACGTAGGCGTGTTCCTTTACCGAGGGAATCATTCGTTCCGGCTGGTTTTTATTTCGTATTTTTTTGGTTTACTTTTCTAAGGTTCTTGAAGGCTTTCTGGGGTTTAAAAGGGTGCAAGGGAGGTTTGATGTATTAGAATAAAGGTTTAAGGTTTATTTTGATATTTGGAGGTATGAGATTTGGAGTTTGAGTTAAGATTTAAGGTTTAATCTAAGGTAGATTAGGAGATAAAAGGGAGATTTCAGAGATTTGTTTAAGGAGGTTCGCTAATTATTTTTGCTTCGCTCATTTTCCATATTCTTTGTTCTGTGATTTTATATCAGTGCCATTTGATTCTCTGAGTACACCATGTCGTATAAATTTGAATAAAAATACATGGTTATATTTTTTTTGACAGTTCGGTGGTATATTGGTATCATAAGCGATCAAACACATTTAATATATATTCCCCAACAATAATAAATGTATTACTATAACAAATATAGTTACCCGAGTTCTTATG